ACCACTAGAACGCCCGTTTAGAGACTGTCTGTCTACTCGACGGCACATGGAAAGTGTTCAATGAAAAGTGGCTGGACCAATACGTGAAATGCTGAGGAGGGGCAGACTTCAGGTCCGGGCTCTGCTGACCCAACAACAGACACTTTTCATCTGGTCAGCAGGCCAGTGTCCATCTCACTCGGAAGGAAGGAAGGGCCAGTCAGTAGATGCTTACAGGGTCAAAGCATATTTATCAGCTGCTACACAACTTCCATTTCCCGAAAAGCAGAAACAACCACAATACGCAACAATATAAGACAAGCTTAGCACATTTCAGTGCAGCAGCTCAATAGACTGACTGAGTCGTCAGACCTGTGGGGAAATGTTTATGATAATGTCAAATGAAAAACAGGATATAAACTCTGACTTCAACCACATAAAACATGTGCCCAAGGATAAGGACCAGACACACACATATGCCGTGAGGCTTCTGATAGCATTGTGTGCTTTCTTTCTTCCAAGAAAAACAAAACAAAAAATCACATTTAACAATTTTAAGCCACGGGGAAAAGAGGGCTTTTTTTTCTTCTTCTATACTTGGAGCTGGTGTTCTTCCCTTCTTGAATTCTAAAAGAAGTGGTCAATTTCTTACACCATCAACCTGGAGCCACAGGGTTAAAAGATGCTCTGGATGATTCTCACCACTTGATTCCAGGCCTCCACACCCACTACAACCCCCCCTCCCCCATCACTGGAGGGAACCAGCAGAAGAGTTGGACCAGGAAAGAATAAGGACAAGAACTCACAATGAAACAAACTGTAATCTTTCTTTAGTTGTGGTGAAATATTTTGAGTCCGTCCTTTTGGTCTCTTATCTGTGGGCACGACTCTGGCCAGGACGGAAAAAAGGTGACTTTTTCACTGTGGTCTCATTTCATTTTTCCGTTACCGAGCACTAGGAGGAGGAGGGGGAGAAAGATCCAGCACACCGTAGTATGGGAAGATAGCTTCTTTTTCTTTTTAATTTGACTTACTGGGGAGACATTGGTTAATAAACCTTTCTTAGTTGTGGTGAAATATTTTGAATCCGTCATTTTGGTCCCTTATCTGTGAAAGGTCCCGGGTTCGATTCCGGTCAAGGGCATGTACCTGGGTTGCGGGCACATCCCCAGTAGAAGATGTGCAGGAGGCAGCTGATCGATGTTTCTCTCTCATCGATGTTTCTAACTCTCTATCTCTCTCCCTTCCTCTCTGTAAAAAATCAATAAAGATATAAAAAAAAAATTATATAGGTTTTAGGTGCACAATTCTATGATACATTATCTATATATTATAGTGTGTTCACCATCCCAAGTCAAGTCTCCTTCCATCACATGGTAAGAAAACCACACAACCCAAAAACCAGACATCTGAATGGAGAAAACTTACTCCATTCAAAGAGGCTTAAACATGTACTCCACTAACATCTTTCGTTACCATGTGGGAGAGAGATGGTTACTGGTCAGACGAGTGTGACGGGTCAGGGATCATTTCAAGTCTCTGGAAACAAAGCCAACGTAGCTCTTCTTCAGCCCAGCTGTACTTTTCCAGGCTAAGCTTGTACTGTGGCAGGATGGCAGCAGGGCTGTTCCCCAAACAAAATGCCCATAGATTTTGTCTCAGCGATCAGTAGGAAACAAATATGTACTGTCTTGGGGCTGCCTTACATCCTTTGTGGGTCCCATTAGGATAAAGGAATAAAGGCTTGGCTGACAACATGGTACAAAGAAAAAGACCGAATTCTACTTTGCTTCTGCTCTGCAAGGTTGAAAGGGGTGACGGTACTTTTCCGTGGGAGCTGTGGGAAAGAGCCGCAGAGGCCGCTGCATCTGATGATGCCAGTCCCGCGGTGGGGACTCTAATTGCCACTCCTGGCAGCAGGAGTCGGGGCTGGAGGCAGATCCACAAAGGGAGCACCCACATGTCTGGTCCACAGCTCTATCCATCCTCCCCCTTCATGCCTGGCCCAGGGCTCCACACACGGCCAGTGTTCCGTTGATAGACTCTCTGACAGCTCTGTTATGCTATGTAACTATCTGGCATTTGTTTCCCACAGTTTGCTTACATTAAAAACAATTTCGCCCTGACTGGTTTGGCTCAGTGGATAGAGCGTCGGCCTGCGAACTCAAGGGTCCCGGGTTCGATTCCAGTCAAGGGCATGTACCTTGGTTGTGGGCACATCCCCAGTGGGGGGTGTGCAGGAGGCAGCTGAGCGATGTTTCTCTCTCATCAATGTTTCTAACTCTCTGTCCCTCTCCCTTCCTCTCTGTAGAAAATCAATAAAATATATTTTAAAAAAATAAAAATAAAAACAATTTTCTTTTGAGTGCACATAAAGCCATTTCCTCAGAGAAACCTCACCAACCTAGAGATTCTTTCTGGAGTTCTGAAAATGAGCAAATGAACTCAACAAGATAACGGGATATCTACCACACAATAAAGGGCTGCATGGCTTCAGAAGTCACAGACTTGAAAGCATAACTGGTAGAGGCACCCAGAACAGGACAGTACCCTGTGTAACTCAAGGTGAAGTTTAGTCTAAGAGGCATCAATGAAGGCAAACGGGGCTAAGAACCACAGGCCAAAAGAATCACAGAAAGTAAGAGACAAGCCCTTCCCATGTTAAATCTAGAAGGAAGTCAAAGTGGACAAGGCAAAAGCTACCTTAGATGTCTAACTTCGGCACTGTCCAGGAACCCCTTTTCCCCAGCAGAGGGGCTGAGATGGCTTTCCCCTGGTCTGCAGGCTCAACTCTGTAGTCGGAGCATTCAATTCCCAGAACATAACCTGCCGGTGCTGAATCTGTGTTATACACCACCACCCAGGTGGAGGAAAGGGTGGGAAGTTTGGGGGATTAAACAAAGCAACAGAGTTTCAGGGTCAGTCAGGTCAAACCACCATCGCTGCTGAGACCCTGACAGCACTGAGCTTTTGATGACATTTCCTTTTACAGGTGCTAAGCAACTACGCACTCACAAACTCAAACTGCTGCCCGGTGGACTGCCTGCCACTTCTCTGCAGTATCTATTTCGCATATTCCTCTGCAGAGGGCCCGATGGGACTGGTGATGCAGAAACTGTATCCCTCTGAAGTTGTTTTATATACAGGAAATTAAAGCAGAGGAGGAAGGGGAGGTGGGGAGAAATGAAAATGCGTTTGCAAAGCTATCCCAGGACACTGATTCAAAAACCTCATTTCACTGGGAAAGATCACCTGCGCCCTGTGGGTCTACGGAGAGTGGCTATCTCGCTGTGTCCTCTCACTGCAGTTGCCTCTTGGATGTCAGTGCAGGGGAGATTTTTCATTCTCTCTGCAGGAACGGAAAAAACCCTACAGTTCAGTCCTAAAGGAGCTCAGCCTTGTAGATGCCACAGGAAAGACTGCTGGCACCGCTCAGCTGTCACCACACATCAGTGGAGGCCAAACGGGCCAAGACCTTGTTTTTTGATGAATCTGATTGTGTACAGGAGCCACAATTGAAAGTAGGCAGCCCACTGAGGCCAGAGAAAGCTTAGGGTTTGGATTCCATCTTTGGAAGTGGTGGGGCGCATTCAAAAGCAGTAATTGGAGGGAAGTTTTGGTTCAGAAACTGCTCTGGCCAGTGTGATGAGTCACTTTTGCTAACACAGCATTCTGGGCCAGGATACTCCTCAACTGCAGCATTTACAGGCCAAGGAATAGCTCAAAGGGATGGCACAGTCCAAATTAAAAGAGGAGCACACCTGGAGGACTGGTTTTGTCTTTCAGGAGCAACTGAAAGACACGTAAGTGTGCACACCCATCCTTGGAAGATGACTTTGAAGCCATAATCACAGGACCAGTTCCTGTTAATCTCACTTTTTAAAAAAATCCTTTGACATGCTTGCTTTCTCCTGCCACTAGGCTTTAAAAAAAGGAACTGAGAAATAAAATCTAAAACACAGTAGTTTTCTCTGATGTTTTCTAGAGTTATAAAAGAAGTCCTTAGTGAGAATCACTGATATTCCATCCAGGGACAGAGATGTAATATAATCTAAGAGTGTAAAAATGAGGTCCTAGGAAGAAAAGAGAAGGGGGAAAACTCATAAAAATGTTCCCAGCTAGCTCTGGCTGGGGTGGCTCGGTTGGTTGGGCGTCACCCCATGCATGGAAAGGTTGCCAGTTCAATTCCTGGTAAAGGCACATGCATGAGCTGCGGGCTTGATAGCCGGTGGGGTGTGCATGAGGCAGCGATCAATGTTTTGCTCTCGATGTTTCTCTCTCTCTCTCTCCCTCTCCCTTCCTCTCTTTCTCTAAGAATCAATAAAAAATATTTTTTTTAAAAAATTCCCAGCTAAAGATGGGATTTTTAAATTTTATTTTAGCCACTGGAGTTAGGGTTAGGTTTAAGAAAAAAAGAAAGCCTTCACATATCTAAATGTAATTTTATTAACTAGAGATAAAAAACATCTGTGTTTTAAGCTAATGAAATGAATTTAAATCTATAAAAAATACATTAAGAAAATGCATAGTGGCCGAAACCGGTTTGGCTCAGTGGATAGAGCGTTGGCCTGCGGACTGAAAGGTCCCAGGTTCGATTCCGGTCGGGGGCGTGTACCTGGGTTGCGGGCACATCCCCAGTAGGAGATGTGCAGGAGGCAGCTGATTGATGTTTCTCTCTTATCGATGTTTCTAACTCTCTCTATCTTTCTCCCTTCCTCTCTGTAAAAAATCAATAAAATATATCTTTAAAAAAAAAAAAAAAAGAAAGAAAATGCATAGTGATATATTCAACTAATAATAACAATAATTTTAAAAAGGGAGTACTGTACTAAAGTTACAGTTCACTTCTCTATAATTCAACTTTCCCTCCTGAAAATGGGGGCATCACCACCTGCTGCTCCACTTATATCACATATTTTTTTCTGATGGGATGTGAGAATGAAAGAATACTGACACATAAACACTGCAAATATTGTGGGGTTCCATTTAGTATATGAAAGTCTCGAATAAGTAGGAGAGGTCAAACTAACCTATGGTGATAGAAGTCAGATCAGTGGATGCTTCTAGGAGGGAAGGACTGGCTTGAAGGGGTCACGAAAGAACTCTAGGGGTGATGGAAATTGTGTTTCTTGATGCTATTTGGTTGTATTGCTCCTTCAGATTCCCACTTGTTCCGATCGATGGCACACGCACTTTCTGAGCAGCACTTCAAAAACGTACGAAGTGGAAAATTGGGGTTCTGAATGGTCTGCCTCAAAACAAGAAAAGTTCTATTGGGACGGTATCCACAAATTACCTGGAAGATGGGGGAAATGTGTAGCTAGCGATGGACATTACTTTGAATAAAGCACTTTTGATGTTTCTCTTGAAATTATCATGTTTTCTTTGATTACAAAATATGCATTTTTAACCAGTTAATAGCTAATCCATATTTTTAACCGGTATCCGCATTTTTAACCGGTTAACAGCATACGCATACCAGTTAAAATGCAGATTAACTATTAACCAGTTAAAAATGTGGATTTTGTAATCAAAGAAAACATGTTTTTTTTTAAAAGTATAGTTTACTACCATTCCTCTTAAAAAAGAAAAACATAAATACCATGCTTACAAATGCACTGACTTTCCTTGAAAGGGCGAATAAGAAATGTTAACAGTGACTCCCTCCAGAAAGGAAGCTGGATTACCAAGGGATGAGTGAGAGACTGACCTTTCATCACTCACCTTTTTCTGTCTGGGGAATGTTATGTCCTGGGCCTGTATCACTCTCTTAAAGACAATACAGCTTAGGAAACAATGGTACTTCCACCCCAAACACTGTTCCTACCCCTGCGCTCATCCTTGTCTCAGCTCAAACACGGCTGCACCAGGGGGGCCTTCTCTGGACCCCGAGGCAGAGGCCTCCCAACACATGACTCAATTCCTGTGGACTTCTCCACAGCCTCCTCACAACTCTAATTCGGGATCAGCCCTGTTTAATGCTCTCTACCCAGTGACTGGCACTATGCCTGGCACATCCCAGGAGCTCACCAAATGTCTGCTGACAGAATTAATGAAAAGACAGGTTCTCAGAGAAGCTACAAAACCAAAGGCCCATAATCCATCAAGACAAGAGGACTCCCTGCTGAGTGCCAGACAACGATGACTGGACAGACCAGGAACATACGGTTTAGCAGCGAACTTCAACAAACATGGCCAGGCTGATCCAAGGCCAAGATGGCTGCCAGGAAATCGCGCTTTGCTACCAACAGCTGTGTGATCCTGGGCAAATCCCTCCATCTGAGCCTTACTGTTACCAACTGTCAAACAAGAGAATTCAACAAAATTAATGGCTTTTCAAGCCCTTCCTTGCTTTTAAACTGTTTAAAAAACAAAAGAGGGACTGCTCTGATTGATGTAGGGCGGGGGGTGGCTAGAGCCTGGCTCACTCCACTCTCCCCTTTCCTCACCTGGGCCCCAGACAACCCACTGCTCCATGGGACAGAGTTTGACACGCAGTCTATTAAATGACAGCTAAAGTCCCTCCCACACCTCACATTCTATGACAAACCTATTTCTTCATCAATGAGTGTTCTTCCTGGGTATAAAACAAGGAAATGGACCATGATCATTCTCAGAGCACGACAAAGGACGTTTCCAAGAGGACAAGAGAAAAATTCCGAATGCCACCAGGGCCAGCAAACCCTATTAGGTCTTCAGTAGGAAGAAAAATAGTAAGAAGCCAGCCATTCCCCAAATGGCCAGCCAATGGCCCCGTGATGACTATTCAAGTCTTAGGGCAGCGATTCATGTCAGAGCAGCCCATGCCCTGCAATCGGATGAGAGGCATGAAGTTGGCAGCACCAGCGCAGCACACTGCACGCTCAGTGAACTAGCAGTTAACTGACAAGGGAGACAACTGGTACTGTGAGATCAGCAGAGAAGACGTGTTAGGAAAGGCAAAGGGGAAAGAGTATTTGGCAAGCTCTGATCGGCTGCCAAGACCCATCTCTAATTCAAGGATATTCAGGCAGGGAATACTGATCCCTGGAAGCCCGCATTGGTGACTTCCAACTTCAGTGTTGACAACTCTCACTTGTAAATCCTTGCCTGATGAATACCTGCTCAGAAATCTGCTCCAAGGCACATGTTAGCTCAAAGGCAGTCAAGACTAAGCTAGGAAGAGTGAATAAAAGGGGCTAGGGTGGTGCCACCGTTTCTTCATTTGGAACAGAAAAGCCAAACTTGGATCATCCCACATGTTTTGTCATTTCAATTCTCAAGGGCAGAGGTTGATTTACTCCACAAATATTCCCCTATTTTGTGTCATGCTCTGGATTATGCCCTGGCCCCTATGAAGCTTAGTGTTTAATAGAGACGATGATTCTACTCACCGCCCAGTAACTCTACTCACGACTCCTCACTGGTCTGATCGTCTCCTTTTAAAAAGAAAAAGGTCCTCACAGGTAAGTACACAAATTCACTTTACAGAAACAGGGAAGGTCAACTTGAAGATTAGGCCCTAGCCGGTTTGGCTCAGTGGATAGAGCACCGGCCTTCGAACAAAAGGGTCCCAGGTTCGATTCCGGTCGGGGGCACATGCCCAGGTTGTGGGCTTGATCCTCAGTGGGGGACTTGTGGGAGGCAGCCAATCAATGATTCTCTCTCATCATGGATGTTTCTATCTCTCTCGCCCTCTTCCTTCCTCTCTGAAATCAATAAAAATAAATTTTAAAAAAAACTTATGAAAAAAATAAAAGGTTGAATCAGCAGTAGAGAAACCAGATTTCAGACTTATTAACTGAGACAATGTAGTCACCAAACTCAGACAGACAGGCTCTTTCCAGTGGCTCAATAACTAGGAGAAAACAAGCTGTTCTTCAGGTGTGGCACGAGATTCAGAACAAAGATGGCAATGGTAGTAGTAATGGTAAACGGGTGTGCAGTACGGGCTGGACACTATGTAAAGAGTATTAATAAAATCACCAGTTTACAGATGAGAAAATTGAAGCCCAGAGAGGTCATGGCATCTTTCTGGAGTCACGGAGCTAGAAAATGGAGGTGCCGACACTCTCCACCCTTGCCCCACAATGGGGTCCCACGTGTCCCGTTCCGTCAAGCGAGGCAACTCCTCCACTTTGAATGAAGCCCTGCAGAAACACACACACTCCAGGCTAAAGGGTATGTAAAATGTGTTGCCACACATCCCTACAGATTCCCTCCATTGTTGAATAACAGGTTATTTTAGGACCAGTCCATCCAGTTTGGACAGCAGAAACATCAAGTTTGGTAACGTGCCTGGTGAAAGCCTGTCTAGATGAGCTTGCCAAGATGCGGGCCTCCTGGGATTTGGGTGAAAACTGATTGGTCAAAATCAATCTCCTAAGACCCATTAGCAATTAAAGGCTCAAATAAAAAAGAAACTAAAGGCAGGCAAATGCCACATGCAAATGTCCCTATATCAGCCCTGAGTCTCTAGAACCTAATTTTAGAAGCAGGTGCCAGTTCTCAACTATCGACAAGCAATAATGTGTGGAAAGAGCTGCTGTCAAGAAAAAGAAACGTTCCTCTGGACTTGAAAAAAAAAAAAAAGTACAGGCTTCTTCTGAACAATATTTAAATTAGTCAAAAAGGGGAGAAAGAGGCCAAAGACTACAAAGCAAAGCTCAACATCTGTTTTCCCACCTATACGATGGGAACACTCTCGGAGGATCTGTCAGGGTTTGTAGTCACCCATTCAGCATGTGTAACAGTGTGGAGCACCGCCAGCTCTGAGGCTGGGACTCTGCCCGCACAGGAGCATGCACACAGAAGACTAAAGAGTACAAGCCAAAGTCCCTAACATGGCTTCATGGCTCCTAAGCCCTGTATGAGATGTACACCCCCTTCTGTCTCCCTCCCCATCATTACCTCTTGGAACTCTTCTCCCCTACTCTTCCCATCACTCCCTCAGTTCCAGCCATATGGGCCTCTTCGCTGACCCTGGCACAAAACAGCCATGTTTCCAGCACAGGGCCTTTGCACACATGGTTCACTTGACCAGAGAGACTTTTTCTTCAAATAGCTTTATGACTTAATCTCACTTCTTCTTTTTTATGCCTTTTATTTTTTAAAGATTTTTAAAATTGATTTTTAGAGAGAAAGGAAGGGAGAGGAATAGAAAGAGAGAAAAAAACATCATGAGACCAAAACATCAATCAGCTGTCGCCTGGATGGCCCCTACTGGGGATGGAGCTGCAACTTGGGAATGTGCCCTGACCAGGAATTGAACCAGCAACCTTTTGGTGCACAGGATGATGCTCAACCAAATAAGCCACACTGGCCAGGGCAGTTCCTCACCTCTTTTAAGTCTTGGCTCATATGTCACCTTTTCACTGAGGCCTTCTCTAACCACCTTATTTAAAAATGTGTACATCCCCGACCAATCCACCCCACTTCCTATCTTCCTCCTTTCCTCCTTTTGCTTTTCTTCAAAGTATGTATCACTAACATAATATAAAATGTATTTATAGTGTCTATTTTTTCTTCCTCCATAATATGAATTCCATGAGGAAAACGATTTTGTCCATTTTGTTTACTACTGTATTCCTCGTTCCTAGATTGGTACCTGAGAAAGAGTAGGTGCTCAATAAATATTTGAATGACTAGTGCTCCACTCTCCTTTTGGGAAAACGTCATGGTCTATAAACCAACCTGAGCCAGAGAGCAGGGTGTGCCAGGGGCAGAGCTACACATGCTCCGGTTGTCAAGCTATTTTGACAAAACTGAAATTGAAAATGCTGGACCCCATAGCCCATTTTACAGCCAATAAATGTAAAGTAAATAAATTACTTACTTTACAAGTAAGTGAGCACTGAGGGGAGCACAGAAAAGAAAGGGCAAAGGGTAGATGATCAGGTAGCAACAACTCCAATGGGAAAAATGTTCAGGCCACTTCCTTCAGTGAGGCCAGGCCACCATCTCTTGCTCCCATAGGCATCAGATTACAGAGTGACCAGAGAGCTATGGGAGGTGGGGGTACAAATGCTGGGGTGCTGGGGGTGGGGGGGCTCTGACACAGGCTATGAGGCTATGATGTGAGCACAGCTAGGCCCTTCCTTCTGCTTATAACCCTGCAGGCCCACAGGCCTCCTTCAGAGTCCCTCTCATTACCAAGCTCTTTGTTGCCTTTGCACTTGCTGATCCTCTGCCTGGATTATCCTGTCTGGCTTCTAGAGTGACTGCTCCAACT